TTGTTTGGGATTCATTGAGGGTACAAAGAATTAGGTTATACTGATTGCATTTGTTAGAAAAAAGGACCTTTGTCATGGTTTTCACATGTCGAATTGTTTCTAGTGACATCTAAAATAAGCATTAGGGAGGCTAATGGTTTGGGTGCAGAAACAAAATGAAGAACTAAGGGCACCTGTCCTGCAAACCATCAAAACTCCCTTTAAATTCTTTATAAAACTCCCCGTCTTCACAGAGTATTTTCTTAGAGTCAGTGTAACTCAAAGATTCTGTGATTCCACAATCATTACCTCTTCCTATCAGATATCGTTTTCTTGAATGTTAACTTTCAAGATTAAAAAAAAAAAAGATCTTTTTATAGTATTTGGATTAATATTATTTTCCACTATTTTTATTGCATCTATATAATGTGAAGTGATTGGGGTTAAGCAGTTTTTAACAGCTAGACCATAGTTTGTAACTTTTGTATTTAGAGAAATACTTTGTATTTTCTAAGTTCTTAATAAAGCAATTTCAAGAGTTTGATTCTTCTATTTCAACAAAAGTGCGTTGAGAATCTGCTGTGTGACAGGCTGTAGATACGTCAGGATGAATAAAGCTAACAAAGAACTCAGTGGCTGGTGGGGGGGAAGAAATGTGCGCCGAGACCTATGGAGTCCGAGCTCACTGCTCAGTGGAGGCTGCAGGATGGCTGTGTGGCTCCCACGAGGGCCCCACTGCTGAGAGCTGGGAAGGGCTAAGGGAGGAGGTGACACTGCCTGCGCGACGCCCACCTGGAACAACTAGGCTGCCGTCGGTCACCTGGGACCCTGCAGCCTTCCCAAGTGGTAGTTCCCCAGATTCCACAAAAGTAGATTTTTACTCAACTGGATAGAGATTTCTAACTTTGGTACAAAAAGATATATGTAGGCCAGGGGCACCTAGCACTCTGGGAGGCCGAAGTGGATGGATTGCCTGAGCTCAGGAGTTTAAGACCAGAGTATGCAAGAGTGAAACTCTGTCTCTACTAAAAAAAAAAAAAAAAATTTAAAAAATAGCCAGACATTTTGGAGGGTGCCTGTAGTCTTAGCTACTCAGGAGACCTGAGGCAGGAGGATCATTTGAGCCTAGGACTCTGAGGTTGCTGTGAGCTTTGACACTACGGTACTCTAGTGTAAGCAACAGAGTGAGACCCTTAAGAGTTCACAGTCATGCCGGCTTTCATAGGAGGAGGTGTCACTTTGTCACAAGCTAGATGTTATCTGTCAAAAATCAAACTATGATTAACACTTTTAGTTAGCACACATAAAACCCATATTGCCTTAGGAATTAAAAAAAAAACAGTTCCCAATACAAAATTCAAATGCTCCCTCTCATCTGTAGAGTACAAATTGAACAACCCTATAAACATTGATAAAATTGTCACATTTACTCAAAATGCAGTTCAAGGTAATATTGAATATGGCAAGCATCTAGAGTATATCACAGAATTCAAAAAAGTCCCAGCACCAGCAAGGTGTCGAACTGTTAATTCCTTAAATGTCGGGGTAAACATACACGCCTGCTGATGTTGGCTGTGACTTTCTGTTGCCCGCAGGCTCCTCAGTGGTTAGAAAGTGATTCGTGTCAGAAATGTGAGCAGCCCTTTTTCTGGAACCTCAAGCAGATGTGGGACACAAAGACACTGGGGCTGAGACAGGTGAGTGGCCAACGTCGTCCTCCTGTCACTGGGCTGTAAGTTTTGTTATTTACATAATTAATCTGTCTTTTCTTTTTTTGGAATCATACTTTATTCCCGCAAATGCTATTAATTCCTATACTCTTTATAACATTATCACTGTGTGCTAACAATGAGCGAGACATGTCCCGGGGCAGCAAGACTGGGACTTGACCGTTGGGCAGCCTGCACTGGAAGAGCAGGGATATGTAGGAAGTGCTGAGAGCCTGTTTCTAAACAGACCAAAGATCTTTCAGTTTAGGACTCTTGCTTACTAAAGGCAGTGCTTTATACCAGCCAAGCACAGAATTAGAATAAACTAAGGCCTACAATTATGCTTGTGCTTTGTGCTGTCACAGACAGGTAACAGGTAATCATTTAGTCTTCATGGGAATACTCTGGCCCTATGAATTTTAAATTATTCTGAGTTATTCTATTATACCTGAACACCTTTATTAAGCATATTTCGAGTACAACTTTTATTTATTTATTTTTTTAGAGACAGAGTCTCACTTTATCGCCCTTGGTAGAGTGTTGTAGCATCACAGCTCATAGCAACCTCCAACTCCTGGGCTTAGGCAATTCTCTTGTCTCAAGTAGCTGGGACTACAGGTGCCCGCAACAACAACGGCTATTTTTTGTTGCGGGTTCAAACCCGCCACCCTCGGGATATGGGGCCGGCACCCTACCCACTGAGCCACAGGCGCCGCCCACCATTTTTAATTTTTGTAATTAAAGAAACATGCCTTGAACAGCCTGTAGATTCCAAAGATGACCTTAGCACTAGGCATTCTTATAATACTGAAGTTCTATGAAGAAAATATGCGTCTGTGCAGCCTTGAAGGTAGCCACTCATTCAGGGCGACTGTGAACTTGTGCAGGTGAGTAAGAAAAGAGTGCAGATTTTATTCCTTTTCCCACTGGTTGCATCCCTTTGGAGTATTAGCCTAGAGTTTCTATGTGCTGACAAAATTTTTGATTTTATTCAAAAAGCTTTCTACAGTAAGATGTACTATGAAACTGGAAGGGGAATGTTTTCAGCTCTGACATCATTCTAAAGCTTTGAAATAGCATCTGCATTTTATCAGTACACGGCTGATGGTAACTAGTGCATGGTAATTGACAGGCAACGTATTCCCTACCTCTAAAGGGAACATAGAGAAGTGAATTTTACTTTTGTGCATGAGGACCTGATGCAAAAGATGGAGAAAAGATGCCGATCACTAAACTTTTAGTGGCAAAATAGTATGTCGAAATCAGTAATAAAACTGAATGATTTTGAAATTTTCTGGAGGCTTATTTTCAGAATCACAACTTGAGAAATTAAAAGAAATAGCAAATGGCTGGGTGCAGTGGTCCCCCTGGGACCCCAGAACTTTGCCAGGCCAGCCAAGGTAGGAGGATTACTTGAGGCCGGGAATTTGAGACCATCTTGGACAGCTTAGTGAGAATCTGTCTCTACAAAAAAATGTAAAAATGAGGTGGCATGTACCCGTAGTCCCAGCTACTCAGCAAGGTAGGAGGAGTGCTTGAGCCTAGGGGTTGAAGACCAGTGAGTTATGATCGTGCCGCCTCCTGCCTGGGTATCAGAGTAAGACCGTAACTTTAAAAAAGGGTAGCGGGGGAGAAGAACTAAAACATGGGATTGTGGATATTAGTTTCTTTGTGAGGACATAGTACATAGTACATTTAAAACTTTTTATTTTATTTTATTTTTTTTTGTAGTTTTGGCTGGGGCCAGGCTTGAACCCGCCACCCCCGGTATATGGGGCTGGCACCCTACTCCTTGAGCCACAGGTGCCACCCTTTAAAACTTATTTTTAAACCTTTCTATGATATAGGAATAGATTTTTTCTTCCTCAAATCTACACTGGTCAGGCTCCTAAGTTTTCAGTTTGTTCTTAGTAATATTGTTAACATGTAGACAGATACTCAGAGTGAATAAAAAGCAGTATTTCCTTGACTAGTGTCACAAGTGTCTGTCTTTTCCGTGTTAATTCATACATTGAATTGGGGCGATTATAATTCCAGGCATGTCTTCCCCGCTCCTATTCCCTGACTCTAAAGGGGAGCCATGTTGCATTAGGACAGAGCCTAAGGCCCTGTTGTCCTCCTCCCGTGCCCTGCAGCACCACTGCCGGAAGTGCGGGCAGGCCGTCTGCGGGAAGTGCAGCAGCAAGCGCTCGAGTTACCCCGTCATGGGCTTCGAGTTCCAAGTCCGGGTCTGTGATTCCTGTTACGACTCCATCAAAGATGAAGAGTGAGTGTTGCCTGCCCTTGTCTCATAAACCAATTCTAAAAGAGAGGATTCTGCCCCACCTTCATGACTTGAGGCCACCAGTGTTTATCTCAGGCTGCCCCTGGCCTGGACAGCTTTCCTTGGCCAGTCCAGCAGCCGAGTGGACATTCCTTAGCCCCCTCCACCCACGAGGTGCTATGCGGGGATAGGGCCAGTGTGGATGGCAGTGATTGAGCTGGCTTTCCACAAAATGTCACCCAGGTACATAAATGTAACTACTGGATAAACTCCAGAGACCAACATTTGTTCTTCCCCAAAAACCTGACCTTAAATTCTGTTCCTAAATAACTCCTTGCAAGTCAGACACGTCTGTGTGTAGAACCCATTCTGCCCCGACTCAAGCAGAGCCACCATTTTCTTCTCCTTCCCTTAAAATCATCTTTTAAAACCCAGGCAGAGGCCCAAGTCGGAAAGTCATCGTGGGGGCTGGGATTAGTGACGGGGTCACAGCTGCTGGGTGTCAGGGGGGAGTAAGAGCCAGGCTGTAAGAGGCACTGCCCTGGGGGGGCAGGGAGGTTTCAGGGAGTCTTCCCATGAAGGACGCGCCTCGCCATGCTGTCTTTCCGTGTAGCTCCTCTTCTGTGGAAAGTTCTTGTTCTTAAGTCTGGGAATGCATCAGCCTTCCCAGTAAAAAGCATAAACGTTATTTGGGAGTTTTATCAAGCAGCCTTGCAGTCTGCCGTGCTTTCTGCCTCCCTTCCTGTAAGCTTAGCTTTCAAAGCCATAGCCACATTTTTAGGAAAAAATTTTATCACTCTCATTGTAAGTATTTGCTTCTTTTATTTTGCTAAAAAGGTTACCCAGTTAGCCACAGGTTCAGTGGGGTGAGTTTGCAGTGACCTCTCTCTTCTTTGTCAGTCGAACTTCTCTAGCGACCTTTCATGAAGGAAAACACAACATTTCCCACATGTCCATGGATGTTGCCAGGGGACTGATGGTGACCTGTGGGACCGACCGTGTTGTAAAGGTAAGCTGGGTGATTGTCTCAATTAGCATCTCAGTTCATATTGCCCTGTGGTCATGTTAGGATTGGGCTGGAGACAGTTCTAGCCTTTTCTGATGGCCTTCCTTTTCAATTGCCAGTTTAAACCCTGAGTAGCAAATTGCGAGCTTGTGAGTCTCTCCTGCCCTCAGAGGCAGCCAGTCCCCTGGCGTTTCCCTCTGCCACGTCAACCTGATGGAGTAAGCTGGGGGTGGGGGCCTGGCAGCCTTGTGGGTGCCCATCTGACCTCCAGGTGCCTCCACCTTCACTGGCCTGGATTTGGGGCAAGCCCATCTCTAGAAGGTCCTTCTCTTGCTCAAGCACCTTTTCATGCCGACCAGAAGGCATCCTCATTGTTAAGTCATTGGCTTAATATGCAGAAGTCAAAAGTGAGTGTTTTATACTTAGTACCACTCTTGAGTTGTGAAACTGAAATGTTATATTCCCAGTGGGCTTTTGAAAAATTATATTTATAATAAAACATTTTGTGATGTAACGTTTTTGTCAAGATACTGTATTTAAGCTTTTTCCTCATTTTGGTGAACTACATTCCTTTTTTTTTTGAGGCAGAAGTTCATTTTGTTGCCCTGGGTAAAGCGCAGTGGCATCAAATAGCTCACTTCAGCCTCAAACTCCTGCGTTCAAGAGATCCTCCTGCCTCAGCCTCCCGAGGAGCTGGGACTATAGGCACTCTCGACATCGACTGGCTAATTTTTTCCTATTTTAGTAGAGATGGGGTCTCACTCTTGCTCAGGCTGGTTTTAAACTCCTGAGCTTAAGGGATCCCCCCACTTCGGCCTCCCAGAGTGTTAGGATTACAGCCAACCTGAATCACATTGTTTATCTAAATCTTAAGGAGGTTTTGTAGTGAAAGAAGATGATGAGAGAATTGGCTATTTTGACACCCCTTTGACAGCCGTTTGTCGGTCAGTGTTGATTCTTGCTATTACACCACACGATCAGCGTTGCCTCTCCTGTTTCTTATTCCCTTGTAGATCTGGGACATGACGCCGGTGGTGGGCTGCAGCCTGGCCACTGGGTTTTCTCCACATTGATGCGGGAGCTGGGCGATGTCCACACCTTACGAGCAGCAACTCTACCAAATGAAACCTTTCCCACATAGCTCCGAGGTCACTGTCTCGTAATGGACAGACAGTAGCCGCTTAAAAACAAATCAGCATTTTTACAATGAAAAAAATGTAAAGATGTGTTTTGGGGCATTTGTGGAAATTACCTGTGGGGACTAATATGGAAAAGGTCTGTGTGTAGTGGCTCCCTGAGGGATGGAATTACTTCAGCGAAACTTCCTCATGAAAAGTGTGCTAAGGTGTAAAGAGAGAATTATCTAGTAAATGAGCGTTTTAGACTGGAAAAAGTTGAGCAATAAAGTCAACGCTTAGAAGGGTTTAAAGCAGTCCCAGGTACAGACACACTTCCCCTCAGGGGCTCTGTGGTAGGAGCAGGAGTTGGCAGGAAGAGGACTGGTTCTCTCCTTCTGGAGGGGTGGCAATAGGAACTTAAGAAACCAGAGATCTCCCTTATGTCCTGGCAGGATGTGAGTGTCCCCTACACTTAGATATTATAAACTTACAGACACTTGTTCTTTTTGGGTCGTGCTATAATCTGCACTTAGCATTCGGCTCACTCCAGTTGGTTCTCTTCCCAGCCAGTGTGCCATGGATGAACCTTTGCAGTTGTTTTTGAGTAAGTTGTGCAGTCTCTGTAGTGACCAAGGCAGTCCATATTCTTCCTTCTCCCCCCAAATGTGCTCTGAGCTCAAAAACGTTTTTATGGTGCTGTGAATGTAGGAGTCAAGGAGTCGCACAAGCTGCCTGGCTTTTCCTCATCACAGTAACGACTAATGGAAAACCCTGCAACCAGCATGATTGTGATGGGAAATGATCAGTCTGTTCCGCGGGCCAGCCCATCCTCCTGACTGCCACGTGCTGCTTGCAGTTCCAAGATGAGCCTCTGAGATATTGTGGCAATTTAATATCATCTTCAGAAAAGTACTCCATAGCTTTTAAACTGTCCTGACTTTTAGTTGGAACCCGTAGTATTCACATTTCAGAGTAGGAAATTGGTGACCCAGAGCTGTAAACGTCAGTCAGTTCTCGCATAGTAATTTTCACCTTGTAAATTGCTTTCATAACCACTGGCAAAAATCCTTGTGCATAGGGGCGTTTCTAAAGCTTCTGGACACTGAGTGCTAGGATGAGGAAGACCTCTGAACAGGTTCATGTCTTTTCATATTCCAATTTATGTGTGTGTTTTTTTTAAACAACAGTTCGTGTATCTATTACTTGAGGACTGTGGCAGTGAGTGTAGAAGGGCCAACTTTTTTAAAGGACAATGAATATAAAAATAAAATAAAAATAAAAATAAAAATAGATAGCAACAGTAGCTTTGTTAGTCTTACCAATGTATTGATTTTAAAAATCTCAGTACTGCACCTCTCTGTGTTGGGATGGTGTTGAAACAACGTGGTCATTCAGCTTGATAAAACCAAGGGACTGAGCCTGTCTTATAACAGTGTCTTAGAGGTACTAAGAAGTTTAAGACAGGCAGTGAAACTAAGAAGTCTTAATGGCAGATACTAAGGAAAGGAGGCCAGGCACATTGTGTTCTGGAATGATCTGCATGAAAAGCTGGCTTGTCTTCAGAAATAAGACTGAAGGATTTTGTTGCTTCTTATAATTGTCCTGTTACATCACCTGAAACAGATAAACTTCCCCAGACTCTTTTAAAAATACATATTGTTAACATAGTTTAGTAAAATTAAGTGATGGTCACTTTTCACCCACAGCGTTAAGTGTTAAGCTTCCTATATTCCCTTTAGTCCAGTTAATGGTTCAGCCCAAACGATGGTGCTATTCGGGGGTGGGGTGGGGGTATTAAGTCCTGAGAGGAAATTAGAACACGAGCAATTTCTTGCCCTGTGGAAGAGTGCTGAACTGTGGTTTTGTTTTCTCTTAACTTCTGTAAAATGTGACTTCTTAATATCTGTGGTAGACTGAACAGAGAGTATCACGGCTGCTGAGAGTACTCCATAGCTTTCACACTTGTTTTATTTTAAGAAATTCTTTATGAAAAACCCTGTGTTACATAGAGAACATAAAGTTGTTAGAGTGCCTCCCGAGGGGTTAATATAAATGAAGGAGGGAATTTCTATTTAAGGAAGAACTGAAGTGAGGTATCTCAGGCAAGGAAAGGAGAATGTTTGCCGTAGCTTGCTCTGCCCCCTGGCCTAGTTTCTTTTTTCTGTTTAAAGACATACGTGCCAGGCTTGTCTTGTATATCATGTTTTAGGTAGCAAAGGGGTAATATTTTTTATAGAGGTGGGTGAAAATTATTTTCTCAATTGTACAGACGAGACTCAGAGAGAAGGTACAGATAGGCTTATAGCTCTTGCCTTATTTTGATTGCACTTCTCTTAAATGGGTCGTTTAAATTAGTTCTTTAAGTAACAGTTTACTGGTCTTTCCTTTCCTGAGTATGCAAGCTCATTTGTACATGTCGGGATGAAGGAGTACAGAATAGTAGAGAAGATGCTTATATTTAATCTAGTGTTGTAGGATAAGCAAATGCCAATTCTTCATTGTAAACATGTTTTTAAATCGCTCTTTATTAGGCCAAGTGATAGCAATACCCTTATAGCATTAGTAGAAACAAATTATTCATGATGTTGTAAATCTCTGTTTACTGTGTCCTAGCTGGGTCTTGCTACCAAGAGACTATGAACAAAAAACATCTGCTCTAGTGTATCCCTTTGTCCTCCCCTGAAGAATTCGAGTTGTTAGCATCTATATTTTTAAACTGTTGAAACTGATCCAAATGTGTAATAAATACCGTCGGAGCTCTGGTCCAAGGAGATATTTTTCTAAAATCAGTTTTCATTAAAGGACTTTCTACTTCCGTTACTGGTATCTCCTAAAAGGTAAGAAACCCAATTACTGTAACGATAAACCATCTGCTCATTCTAAGTGTGAGGTTTAACAAATAAGTAATACATGCTACATTTATTCAAGTGTCTATTGCTTAATTGTTAATTGTGAGCAGATTATTGAATGCCTACTCTATTTTCTGCAGTTTACAATACAATAACTCTTGGAGTCTGTTGAAGTTTAATTGTGCAACAAATTTCTATTAGAGTACAATTTAAAGTGTTTTCTCTATAGCCTTTTTTGATTGGGGGAGCAAAAACTAATGTTTAATTAGTACATTTTGTTCTTGTACTGGCTATGTTTCTATAAGACGCAGTGCCCAGCGTATCCCAGAGATGCTAGAAAACTTTGTTCTTTGCTCCTAATTGTGGGTTCTGTTTTTGTGGGGTTTTTTGAGACTATGCATACAATAAAATACTCCTTGCTTGTTACCAGGTCTCCTTAATTGAGCTTTTGTTATCATTGCTGTAGACATAAGGCAATAATGGAAACCACCATTTACTTAGCGCCTTCTGTATGTTGGGTGCTGTGCCCACATTATGTTATTCAATCCTGCAACACTTCTGCCAGGCATCATCTCCTCCTTTTCACAGGCGAGAAAGCCAGGAGGATTCCGTCTGAAGGTGCTGCCTTCTCCCTATCTCCCACCTGAATTTACTAGCATGTCACTAGTGTTGTAAGCAAGGGAGGCGGGTATTTGTATCCCTGCCGGAGTTTTGGAGCGCCTGCTGGAATTGGCAGTCAGCATACCCGGGCTGTCCAGCTGCACAGGCTACTGCGCGTCACCACAGCTGCGCTCTGCTTCTCCACCACGCAGCTCAGTTTTGTGAGTACATGTGGAGGTTCAGACCCGAGAGAACAGATTCCTCAACTAAACTGGTAAGAGACTGATTTAGAAACCAGGAAGGGAGTTTATCGTAGGTTTTTCTAAATAGACATAGCTTCACTTTTCTCTCATCATCAAATAATACCTTTATTATTTAAACAAGGAAAAAAGATACAATGAAAAAGTATAAAATGAGATCTTTTTAAAACCTTCTAATCCTACCCCACCCAGAGAAATCACTGTTAAAGCTCTGCATCTTTCCCGTGATTTTTTTTTTTTTTTTTTTTGAGATAAACTCTCATCTGCCCAGTGCTGTGGCATCAGCCTAGCTCACTGCAACCTCAAACTCCAGGGCTTGAGCAATCCTCATGCCTCAACCTCTGGAGTAGCTGGAACTACAGGTGCCTGCCACAATGCCTAGCTATTACTTTTAGTAGAGATAAGGTCTCGCTCTTGTTCAGACTGGTCTTAAAATCCTGAGTTCATGGGCTCCACCTGGCTCAACCTTTCAGAGTGCTAGGATTACAGATGTGAGCCACTGCACCCAGCCGCCAATGATTTTTTAAAATGCTTCTGTCATTTAATGAGCCCATACTTTCTTTTCTCACTTAACATACCATGGATGGTTTGCCCAGGTCAAAAAATAGAACTTCATATTGGTATTGTTAACTGCTGCGTGGCTGCAGCAGACACACAGCCTCACTGTCCACTGGGCACACAGTGAGATCACCTCTCTCCACTTGTTGGAGGTTAGGTAAGGCCTTGGGACTGCTTCAGTGAATGGCATGTGGGCAGAAGCGTTTCTCTGCCGGTGAGAGGCTCTCCACTGGGGCAGTTTTTTCCCTGACCAACTTGGAAGCATGTGTTGGTGAAAAGTGTGATGCCAAGTCATCCCAGGAACTCAACTGCCTTGGACCCGCAGTGAACTTCGTGTGAGCAAAAGAAATAGATCCTGTCAGGCGTGGTGGCTCACGCCTTTAATCCCAGCACTCTAGGAGGCCAGGGCAGGTGGATTGCTGAGCTCAGGAGTTTGAGACCAGCCTGAGCAAGAATGTGAAATTCTGTCTCTTTAAAAAAAAAAATAGAAAAATTAGCTGGGTGTTGTGGAGGGCACCTATAGTCCCAGCTACTTGGGAGGCTAAGGCAAGAGGATCTCTTGAGCCCAAGAGTTTGAGGTTGCTACAATCTATGACGCTGCAGCACTCTACCCAGGATGACAAAGTAAGACTCTGTCTCGGAAAAAATTTAAAAAAAGGAAAGAAGGAAGGGAAAGAAAAGAAAGAATGAGATCATCATAGTTTTAGTCCACTGAGGTGGGAGACTGTGGGTGTGTTTTAACCATAGCATGACTTCACCTGTACAGCACTATTCCTTTATTCTGTTATGTGCCTAACCCATCATTTATTTCCTCAATCCCATGATGAAATTAGATTATATACATTTTGATTATTTTAATTAAACCCTTCATATTTAAAACTATAAATTAAAAAAAA